GAATTAGTTTGGAAACGGTTTAATCTACGCTAGTCCCTAGGAGTGCTCCTAGAAGATAAACCACAACCAAAGAAATATGAATGCGTACATTAAAAATGGGAGAGGGATACATGCAAGTTACACGGGATTGCACGAATAAAAGGTCTCATTGTCAGGTAGCCCAAGAGGAAGTCGTGTATGTGCAATGTGTCTTAAACTACGCCTTGAGCAAAAGTTGAACATAGCTCCAAGCTAGGGTTTCTGACAATATCCAAAGATCTGTCACTAGGACATACAACCAACAGTCCACCAATTTAGGGTTTTATGGTTTCGATAGTTATTAGGTGTTTTGAAAGAATGTGAATAAAAGAAGAAATGAATATGAATATATACAAGATATGAATAATATACAGGATATATAACAATATATACAAGAACATTCACAATAATATATCAAGATAAATGTCAATGAGTATATGAACAGGATAACATAAATCAAGATAATATTGACTGAAAAATAAAGCAGTGGTATATTTGACTGGAAATAAAGCAGTTGTATATTGACAGAAAGTAAAGTTAGTCGTTAGTTTATTATTGAATTGAATCGGGATGAAATGAAACGCTAAACCGTCGTAGCTCGACTTATGATGAAATTCGAACTATAGGAGGTTGTGTAAATTGATATCCGTGTTAAAAACAAGATAGATAAATGATACTGAGGATCATTCTCCAATTAAATCGTGTTGCACGGAAAAAAGAAAGGTGGGATCTCGTCTTAATCACAAACTCGTGTTAATTAATGAGGGAAACCTCTCACGATCCCAAAGTATAGAAAAATGATCCAAACGATCATTTTCTACAGATTTGAAACAATGAAGGTTATCAACCTTGAAAACCAACATTTGTGAATCGAAGACTTCATAGATCAAGAAAATTAAATAAAAATTGAAAATGAAGAAGAAATTGAAAGAGAAAAGAAGGTGGTCTCAGATCCTTTACCATTTATCAATAGTTTGACTGATAATAATCTAGGAAGTCTCGTCATCGACCGAAAATGAGATTGAAAAATAGCAAAGGATCTAAAATAGATCGAGAAAGGAAATTGAAATAAAATTGGTCACATCTTAATCAAGATTAATCGATAATCTATGAATTTAGACTTTCATTGACCAATATTAAGATAAAATCGAAGATGAACATCAAAGTTAATATGAAATAGAAATGAGAACCAACATGTCAAAAAATCAATTAGAACATAAGAAGTTTGGATCTAAAATAAACTAAATCCAAAAAAATGAAAATAAAATCTCATAAAACAAAATTCGGTAAATAAATAAAAGAAAAGATATTTTTTTTATATGACAAAAAATAAATAAATAAAAAATAATAATATGGAATCATCGTGGGCCTCGCGGCCCATTCATCCAAAAAAGAAAAACCAAAAGCCCGACTGAAAAGAAGGAAAAGGGTGGTATGAAAGTAATGAAAACATGGGCCTCCAGCCCAAAATCCACACGGGTTAAACACATAAGGAAAGGGTGGCGTGAAAACTAACATAAATAAGGGCTGCCAAGGAAAGCCCATAGGTCAAAACCATCAATTTGCAATAAGCCAAAACAAGTTGACAAATAAAAGAGGAAAGGTCACGGAACAGAACCAATAGCAACAATAAATCATGCTCCGCATCACCTAACACAAAAGAAAAACGACCAGAAAAACAACCCCAAATCCAACAATGGCACATCAAAAATCAACACGGTCAACAAAACAGATCAGCTATCAATCTTCTCTCACAGATCTTTCTTAAAAAAACTTGAATCTGGTTTGTATATTTGGGGAATAGAGGAGAAAAAGAGAGAGAATTTCAGGGAAGCAGGTCAACAAAGTCGACGAGGGCCTATTTTGGGTTTGAGGTGTTCGTTTCTCCCTTTTGCAAGAGTGGACAAAGGCCAGGTTCATGGAGTAATTATGGATTGAAGATTATCATTGTTCGGGTTGAAGAAAAACTTTGAACGGGTATGGGGTTTGATTTGAAGGTTGATGTTGGTTGAAGGAGGGGAATTGAGGGTGAGTTTGTTGTTGGAGAAAAGAATGTTACATAAAAAAAGGTGAAGGATTCGTTGCGAAATCCTTTTCTTTTTCATTACTGTTATGGCGTGGTGTGTTGTTAAGAGTGAACAACAAGGAGAATGAAGGTGGAGCTCAAAAGCGAGTTACGGTGGTTGGGTGTCGCTGAAAAACAAAATGAAATGAGTGCATTGGTTGATGTTTTGACGACGATGATGGCGGCAAAATTTCAGTGAGTCAAGGAAGTTACAACCGAGGTTTTGATGGTTGTAGGTGTGGATTCACGAAACTGCGAGTGAGTTGCTGGTAGTGTAATGGAAAAGCAGGAAGAAACATTTTTTATTTTACTCAGATTTGTGTACATTTTAAAATAAAATAAAAAAGAATGAGAGATGAATGTTGACAAGTGGCGGCGGGTGAGTGTCTCTCTCGATCCCAATGGCCCTCATGTATCTATATATTCTAATGAAGCAGCCTTTATCCACATACTTATTTTTTTTCAAATTTGTAACAAGGGCTTTGGACAAAAAAATAATCTTGGGCTTTTGAGTTCCAATTCTTTTTTCCTTGAATGTCTTTTTTTGAATTATATAATGGACTCGAAATAATAAATGATAGTGTATACAGGTAGGACAAATTTGAGGTATGACACCAATTTTCCACCAACACGATTTTTGGCTTTAGCAACATTATTATTGTCTCCTATCATACACCAAGGGCCTCGGGGATTACCATAAAGATACTTTATCTCTTTCCACAGAATTCTCCTTTTATTCAGTTGGTTATGAGCATACACCACAGTAAGCCAATATTTAAAACCACCTATGTTGTCATAGACACCGCAATGTATAAATTGGCTACTACTCTACACAGATTCATATCCACTCTACTGATATCCCAATGAATCCAGATCCTTCCACTAGTGTGGTCTTTGTAGTTGTCCAAGTAATTATCATAAATTTGAAGCTTCTCCCGAATTGACTTGGCTTTAGTTTCTTTCACTCTAGTTTCAATCAAGATAATGATAGTAGGCTTAAGCTCAAGGAGACAGAACCTAATCTCACAAATTTTGCCTACTTTATTGAGTCCCCTTATGTTCCACGAGACTAACATGGATCAATCTTTGTGATCACAAGAGGGTCATTCAAAATCTCAAGTACCTCAAAACCATTATTACAATTGATATTACTAGATGATCCAATTAATATGCTTTTACTTTTATCTCTTGTTGGTTTCCTCACCCTTGTCTAAGGCTCCTCATCTTCATCCATTTTTTCCTCTTCTTCAGTTTGCTTTATGGGAGTTGTTACCTTGATTACTTCAAGAGGCTTAGGCTTAGGTCTCCATTTCTGGATATTTCCTTGATCACCACACTTGTGCCTCAACTTTTGGCATTTCTCACAAAATGTTGGCCTCCACTCATACTCCACAGGTTGCATTATCACACCACATGCACAATTCCTAATGGCAATTTCGTTGACCAGTTGTTGTGTAATATCCACTTCTACCAGAATACACGCATAAGACACATGGAATTTACTCATCGTACATTCATAAGTCACAAGGGGGTACCAATTGCACTACCAATTTTGTTGAGGCTTTCTGCTCCCCAAAGGTGGATGGGGAGTTGGGGAAGCTTGATCCAAATTGGCAATGTTCTTAGTAGGTCCTTCTTCATATTGAACTCAGGCCTCTATTCCTTCAAGATCTTAGGCATATTTTTTATTGTGTATCGGCCCTTTCATCATCACCGCATCCCTATCTTCATGAGAGTTGAATCTTAGCAGAAAGTACCCTTCATCATGGTAGTAGAGATCTAGCATCTTCATGAAATTCCACATTTTCTACATAAAATTCTTCACATTGTTCATACTCGAATCCTCGCCCACGATGTACAAAACCAAAGCATTATCCCAAAATTGAACCTCAGTTTCAATATCTTCTTATTCAATTTCGATATCAACCACAACATTCACCAGCTTAGGCGCCACATATTCCATAGCCAATCCTTTTGCTGGGTTTATGTTATCACTAAGAACATCCACCCAAAGTTTTTGTTCCTCCGACATCGATTTCACAGCTTCCATTAGGGTTTCCGTTTGCTCAATCTTGGATTCCTCATTGTTGTTGAAAACATCATCATCTAATTTTGTCGTTGTATTTGGCTCTTCCCTTGAACCTCCGACTTTTTTGTCGTTGTATTTGGCTCTTCCCTTGAACCTCCGACTTTATATGATTCTCCGGCAACAGTGGCACCGTGAATTTCGACCGCCCACGCCCCCGTTTCGTCATTAGAGAGAAAGTCTTTTTTTTCTCACATATAATATTTTTTCTACATTTTCAATTATTATATTGTAGTATTTAATATTATCTTTCAATTTCATTTTTTAAAAAACCTATTTAAATTAAATCTCATTAAATTTATTTACTTTTATCATTTACTAAATTTATTGTTTTTAATTAATTTTTAAAATTAAATAAACATCCTCCATTGCAAATGGTGGAACACTCATGGCCGTGATACAATCTACCATCTATCTATCTTGTAGGTAGGCTTTTTTTTTTTTTTTTTTTTAAAGTCATAAAGTAGCAGATTGAAAATTATGTTCAAAAAGTCTCAAAGTTCAAACTCTTGATTATATATAGTCTTTTCAAGAGTCACATTTGACGAAGCATAAAGAAATTGAAAACCACTCTAGAGAAATTAAATGTGAACAACGCCCACAATAATGGCAAAATGAAAATATCAAAAATAGCTTGCGTTTGCCGGGAGTCGAACCCGGGTCTATTGCTTGGAAGGCAATTATCCTAACCGTTGGACTACAAACGCTTGATGATTAGTTTCAGAAATAAAACCTATTTAACATAGATTACTCTGTATTATTTATTTTCATTTCGTCCCAAATTCTTCAATACAATTCTAGTGTTTGTGGAAGAGGGTTCAGGCTATAGCTATGGAGACAACAATTCCTGTGAAGACGATGATTCCTTCCACTTCTATGATTCAAAATCACGCTTTCAAAACCAAAACAACAACACGCTTAAACACAACTAGAAGGATTTCAACCCAACTCAAACATCTCCGCTTTTCTATCCATTCCAAATTCTCTGATACTAATTTTCAAGGTAACTCACTTCACTATTTCTTTTTCAAACTATCCAAAATCTCAACCTTTAAGATTTACCCTAATTCAAATCTATTTTAGTTCTTCTCTTTATTTTGAGATTCATTTAATATCCGAACATTTTTGTAATATTATGATATGAAACAGAAGAAGAAAAAATGATTTTCTCTTTATTTGATTTGCATTAATTTTGTCAATATTAAACTGATTATTATAGCAATGGTTTGTGTCTGTGTCTACGACGGTGCTTCATAGCTAATGGTTTATGTGTCTGGTGTCTGCGTTTATGTCGGTGCTTCGTAGCTAATGTTTTGGTGCTGCAGATTTTGGGAGTTATGCTAGACCTTCAGGACTTTTGCCAGCCTCTGAAGTGAAAGTGTACACAAAAACATCATTAGAAAGCATTTTATCTTCCATTAAGGAGGATAGGTCCAAATCTTTATTCAGACTCAAGTTGGTTACCAGCAACTTATATGGCTCAAGTATAACTGACTTCAATGCTGGAGTTCTCCTATGCTTCATAGATGAAGATGGAAAGTCCATTCTGCAGAGATTACCTGTGAGTTTGATGACGGATCTTTCTGCAGAATCGGGGGATAGACTTTATTTCCAAAGAGGTTCTGTTGATGAATTTATTTTCGAGGGTCCGAAGATTGCAAGACTTGAGGCTCTTTGGGTCGGTGTTGAATCGGGTATGATATTATTTGTTTCTTTGTTTTTGGAGTGATTTAAGATGAAGTGGACATCATTGATCTTTAGTTTTGAAGTACCTTTAGGACAAGGCTCCTCTAAAGTGAGTAATCCACTTTAGAGTGTAAAGTGACTAACATTAATACTGTAGTTGATAAACAAATCAATAGCTGATATTATATATGCATGCATAAGAAATCATGGGTGATTAAATTATCAATTCTTGATTTTCTCACTTTACTAACTACTCATTTTAGAGGAGCCAAGTCCTTTAATCAACATATAACTTACCTCAAAATTGTTGAAGTTCTGAGGAAAATAACCCTTGCAGTATTTGCTAGCAAGCGTGTGTAAAGTTATAACTATTAACCTTTTTCACACATACTGTTACAAAAATATAGATGTGCCTTTTATGTTATATACATTGCAGGAATGAGTTTGATCACTCATCTACGAGTATCCCATTTTTCCCTCTCCTACGTGTACCTCTTGCCCATTCCATTGCATAATTAGATTAAACAATTTGGGACAAATATTGCACGAGAGAGAAGAGGAGTAGGCTATGTAGCCCCGGAGATACTCGTCGCTCAATGTATGAAAATCTTTGACGACAATTCCCTCAATTCCTCCTCTTTTGCGCAAGATTTGCCCCAAATTAGAGCTATGCGTAGGAGATAAGAAAGAGGTACACGTAGGGTAAATGGCCAACATTGTTCCTGCCACATCAGCAATACGGACACATGTATATTTATGTAACAGAATGTGTGGAAAAACGACAAATAGGTACATATATGATGTAATGGAACTTAAAGAACCTATGTGGAAAAAAAAATACTCTAAGGACTAATTTGGTACAATTAAACAACTTAAAGTACTACATAAAGAGTATTATCCTCGAAACTTCAAATTTTCGGTACAATCAATTGAGTTCATCTCTTTAACTATACTCTTCTTCTCCCTCTAAGGTCAGGTCAATGGCGCCTAGGAAATATCTCCTTAATTACCATTAGTTCTGAATGGCAACCATCATTACCAGAAGAAGTATCACAGTACACTGGCTTCCAATATGACTTTCCAGTTGAGGATGTATTGCTTGGTGAAGGAACCGATCTATCCATGTTGGAATTAAGACCTAACCTTGTGACTCAGCTCGAAGGAACCGACCCTTTAAGTTTATTCAACAAAGGACTTTACGACACTACCTTGCTCCTAAATCCTAAGATCTCAAAGGAAGAGAGCATGAAGGAGTATTCAAATTTGAAATTCTCCTTGCTATTTTATGATGCTGTGCTGACATTTTTCGGCACATCAATTGCTTTCTTCTCATCCGGTGAAAATACTGGGTTTGCTTTCTTGGTCGGTGGGATTGGAGGCTTCTTGTATCTGCTATTGTTGCAGAGGTATGTGGATGGACTACCAGGTTCAGAATTAATCACAAGCAACAAAAAAGGAACTGATGCATTGTTCAAAGGATTGAAGGGTCCTATAGTAAGTGTAGCATTGGCTTTAGCTTTTGCTGTGTTTGTAGTAAAGTATAGCTCAGGAGATTACATTGATGTGACCTTAACACCAAAGGATATCATAGTTGGAATGATAGGGTTTCTTGCTTGTAAAGTTTCTGTGGTGTTGTCTGCATTTAAGCCTATAGCACCTAAGTTACATGAGTGACATATAACATAATAGTTTTACCCTTTTATACAAGAAATACTGTACACGATACACTACGTTAGGCATGATGCCAATACAAATATGTTGTAGTTTTGTTAGTTATTTCTTGCAAATATGTATTGAATTTAAAGCAGTGGCAGTGTATAGATTTTTAATATTATAAGTCCATTATAATCGTCAAATCATCAAATGATTATATTTGATTTTAATTAAATTAAAAGTCACATGTAAAATAATTTATGACTAATTGCTAGTGAAATAAATTTATATCAAAAATTTTATTATGCAAATATTATATAATCTTTTATAACAAATACTAATATATAGGTTGAGATGGCCGAGTTGGTCTAAGGCGCTAGATTAAGGTTAAGGGCGTGGGTTCAAATCCCACTCTCAACATAATTTTTTTTCACTTTTTTTTATTGATTTGTTCAATAATTTTTCACTTTATTATGGCAAAAGTCTGAGTAGTAAAGAGGTATAATTATTCTCATAACTCACTTTATCCTTTTTTCGGTGTTGAAGTGTTAACTTTGTAGGTCTATTATGTGCAACCGCATCAGAGCAGTCTGCACCACTAAATCAAGAACCCAGTAGTGATGTCGTTTATAGAAATCGACTTCTTATATTGCTAGGGTTGTTAGCATGTTGAATTGGGTTTCACTTTTTTTTATTGATTTGTTCAATAATTTTTCACTTTATTATGGCAAAAGTCTAATTGTAGTCCATTGTATATGAACCACCATGTGAGTAGTAAAGAGGTATAATTATTCTCATAACTCACTTTATCCTTTTTTCGGTGTTGAAGTGTTAACTTTGTAGGTCTATTATGTGCAACCGCATCAGAGCAGTCTGCACCACTAAATCAAGAACCCAGTAGTGATGTCGTTTATAGAAATCGACTTCTTATATTGCTAGGGTTGTTAGCATGTTGAATTGGGTCTTGCTTGTAAGCCCATTTGTTTAAGTTAGCTTGTAATGGATAATTGTTAAAAAGCCCATTAGGTTAGTGTGCTATTTTATTATAAATAGGATGCTAGTTTCTCAATCTTGACATAAGGAAAAATAGGAACCACCATGTGAGTAGTAAAGAGGTATAATTATTCTCACAACTCACTTTATCCTTTTTTCGGTGTTGAAGTGTTAACTTTGTAGGTCTATTATGTGCAACCGCATCAGAGCAGTCTGCACCACTAAATCAAGAACCCAGTAGTGATGTCGTTTGTAGAAATCGACTTCTTATATTGCTAGGGTTGCTAGCATGTTGAATTGGGTCTTACTTGTAAGCCCAATTGTTTAAGTTAGCTGGTACCCTAAGTTAGCTTGTAATGGATAATTGTTAAAAAGCCCATTAGGTTAGTGTGCTATTTTATTATAAATAGGATGCTAGTTTCTCAATCTTGACATAAGGAAAAATAGGAAGATAAAATCCTAATTTCAAGAGAGAGAGGTTATTTTGTTATTCTTGTATACTTGTAATCTTGTTCTAAGAGAAAAGAAAGAATAGCAGCTTAATAACCATTCCTTGTTATTTTACCTTGTCTTCTTTGTTAACCCTAACCCTTGTGTGTTTCTTGATTATTAAGAAACTGTTTATACTTTGTTTAAAGGTATCCGATTCACAACAAATTGGTGCGGTGAGCGTGGAGAAGATGCCTTCAACAAAGTATGAGATTGAAAAGTTCACTGAAGTGGACGACTTCGGTCTGTGGCGCTTGAAGATGAAAGTCCTATTGGTTCAGCAGGGTTGTTTGGAAGCGTTGAAGGGTGAGGCAGTCATGGACGTTGCGTTAACAACAAAATAAAATACGTTGCCCAGTTGCAAGTTTTTCCACTGTATGCAGTTAATAAAGCTGCATGAAGAAAGCTAGTTTCTTGATGTTATAGAGTTAGATCCAAGGTGGAGATTTGTGAGATGTTGGATCGAACTCTAGTGTTCTCGAAGTCTGTTCGCAAGTAATGCGCGTTGTAGTCGAAATTTGTTCTAACATGCATTAGTAAATATTGCTAGGGTTGTTAGCATGTTGAATTGGGCCTTGCTTGTAAGCCCAATTGTTTAAGTTAGCTTGTACCCTAAGTTAGCTTGTAATGGGTAATTGTTAAAAAGCCCATTAGGTTAGTGTGCTATTTTATTATAAATAGGACGCTAGTTTCTCAATCTTGACATAAGGAAAAATAGGAAGATAAAATCCTAATTTCAAGAGAGAGAGGTTATTTTGTTATTCTTGTATACTTGTAATCTTGTTCTAAGAGAAAGGAAAGAATAGCAGCTTAATAACCATTCCTTGTTATTTTACCTTGTCTTCTTTGTTAACCCTAACCCTTGTGTGTTTCCTGATTATTAAGAAACTGTTTATACTTTGTTTAAAGGTATCCGATTCACATTAAAATCTAGTTCTCAACATAGTTATTTTATTGATTTGTTCAATAATTTTTCACTTTTTTCATGCAAATTGTTCTGGGCCGGCCACATTCCCATTATGGCAAAAGTCTAATTGTAGTCCATTGTATATGAACCACCATGTGAGTAGTAAAGAGGTATAATTATTCTCATAACTCACTTTATCCTTTTTTCGGTGTTGAAGTGTTAACTTTGTAGGTCTATTATGTGCAACCGCATCAGAGCAGTCTACACCACTAAATCAAGAACCCAGTAGTGATGTCGTTTGTAGAAATCGACTTCTTATTCCTACGAATTTTCACAATCAAATTACCTATAATCCGAGGCAAAAGTCTAATTGTCGTCCATTGTATATGAACTACCATGTGACTAGTAAAGAGGTATGATTATTCTCATAACTCACTTTATCCCCTTTTTTTTGTTGGAGTGTTAACTTTGCAGGTCTATTATGTGCAATTGCATCGAAGCAGTCTGCACCACCAGATCAAGAACTCACATTAATGATTCTGATTCCCAAACGGAGTAGCGATGTCGTTTGTAGAAATCGACTTCTTATTCCTACAATTTTTCACAATCAAATCTCCTCTAATCTGAAGCCTCAGTCATTTGTAGAAATCGACTTCTTATTCCTACGAATTTTCACAATCGAATCACCTCTAATCCGAGGCAAAAGTCTAATTGTCGTCCATTGTATATAAACTACAATGTGACTAGTAAAGAGGTATGATTATTCTCATAACTCACTTTATCCCCGTTTTGTTGTTGAAGTGTTAATTTTGCAGATCTATTATGTGCAACTGCATCGAAACAGTCTGCACCACCAGATCAAGAACTCACATTAACGATTCTGATTCCCAAACGGAGTAGTGATGTCGTTTGTAGAAATCGACTTATTATTCCTACGAATTTTCACAATCAAATCTCCTCCAATCTGAAGCCTCAGTCGTTTGGAGAAATCAACTTCTTATTCCTACGAATTTTCACAATCAAATCACCTCTAATTCGAGGCAAAAGTCTAATTGTCGTCCATTGTATATGAACTACCATGTGACTAGTAAAGAGGTATGATTATTCTCATAACTCACTTTATCCCTTTTTTGTTGTTGGAGTGTTAACTTTGCAGGTCCATTATATGCAATTGCATCAAAGCAGTTTGCACCACCAGATCAAGAACTCACATTAATGATTCTGATTCCCAAACGGAGTAGTGATGTCGTTTGTAGAAATCAAATTCTTATTCCTACGAATTTTCACAATCAAATCTCCTCTAATCTGAAGCCTCAGTCGTTTGTAGAAATCGACTTCTTATTCCTACGAATTTTCACAATCAAATCACCTCTAATCCGAGGCAAAAGTCTAATTGTCGTCCATTGCATATGAACTACCATGTGACTAGTAAAGAGGTATGATTATTCTCATAACTCACTTTATCCCCGTTTTGTTCTTGGAGTGTTAACTTTGCAGGTCTATTATGTGCAACTGCATCGAAGCAGTCTGCACCACCAGATCAAGAACTCACATTAAGATTCTGATTCCCAAACGGAGTAGTGATGTCGTTTGTAGAAATCGACTTCTTATTTCTACGAATTTTCACAATCAAATCTCCGCTAATCTGAAGCCTCAGTCGTTTGTAGAAATCGACTTCTTATTTCTACGAATTTTCACAATCAAATCACCTCTAATCTGAGGCAAAAGTCTAATTGTCGTCCATTGTATATGAACTACCATGTGACTAGTAAAGAGGTATGATTATTCTCATAACTCACTTTATCCCCGTTTTGTTGTTGGAGTGTTAACTTTGCAGGTCTATTATGTGCAACTGCATCGAAACAGTCTGCACCACCAGTTCAAGAACTCACATTAACTATTTTGATTCCCAAACGGAGTAGTGATGTCATTTGTAGAAATCGACTTCTTATTCCTACGAATTTTCACAATCAAATCTCCTCTAATCTGAAGCCTCAGTCGTTAGTAGAAATCAACTTCTTATTCCTACGAATTTTCACAATCAAATCACCTCTAATTCGAGGCAAAAGTCTAATTGTCGTCCATTGTATATGAACTACCATGTGACTAGTAAAGAGGTATGATTATTCTCATAATTCACTTTATCCCCTTTTTTTTGTTGGAGTGTTAACTTTGCAGGTCTATTATATGCAATTGCATCGAAGCAGTCTGCACCACCAGATCAAGAACTCACATTAATGATTCTGATTCCCAAACGGTGTAGTGATGTCGTTTGTAGAAATCAAATTCTTATTCCTACGAATTTTCACAATCAAATCTCCTCTAATCTGAAGCCTCAGACGTTTGTAGAAATCGACTTCTTATTCCTACGAATTTTCACAATCAAATCACCTATAATCCGAGGCAAAAGTCTAATTGTCGTCCATTGTATATGAACTACCATGTGACTAGTAAAGAGGTATGATTATTCTCATAACTCACTTTATCCCCGTTTTGTTGTTGGAGTGTTAACTTTGCAAGTATATTATGTGCAACTGCATCGAAGCAGTCTGCACCACTAGATCAAGAACTCACATTAATGATTCTGATTCCCAAACAGAGTAGTGATGTCGTTTGTAGAAATCGACTTCTT